AGAGAAAATATTGTAATATAAGATCTTCAGAAGTCTTTGATTATGACATCCCAACAAAGAAGCGAAAGCGCACAGAGTTTAAAGAGGGTTGTAGATTACCTGCACTTGTACCTTACAAGGAGCTGATGAAATTTATAGAGGTACAAGATATTGGAAAACTTCATAGCATACCGCAGGCTACTGCTGAGAGTGACGTAGAAAAGGAAAACGAAGAAGTTGATGGCAACTTACTGCCAGTGATCCCTGGGTATTATATTGACCTTAAAGAGCGTTTACTCCAAATGGCAGACCTCTACCTTCACATAGATAGCCATATACCTAATTTTCTTACATGGTTTGGTAAACAGAAGGGTCATTTTTTAGTAGCAATGGGTGCAGATGGTGCCCCTTTTGGTAAGGCTAATGAGGCTTGTGCATGGCTTGTTTCATTTTTGAATGTTTCAGAAAGAGTTGCCTCACCAGATGATAATTTTTTGATTTGTGGTGCCAACTGTAAAGAAGATCACCCTGCCATGGTAGAATATGGGAAACAACTTAGATCAGAGATGGCCACGATTGCAAGTCAAACTTTTTCAGTAAAAAATCAGCAGGTTAAGTTTGAATTTAAACTTGTTCTATCAGATATGAAGTGGCTAGCAAAATTTTCTGGAGAACTGAGCAATGCTGCTAAATACCCATGTTCTTTTGCAAATGTGCAACTTAGTGAATTACAGGAAAGAGGGCAAAGCTTGAGTAACAATCCTCAAAGTAAGTGGAGGCCATGGGAATATAAATTCAGGGAAGAAGTTGCCAAAAAGGTGACACAATTTAAAGAAAAACAGGCAAGGCCAATTAATGCTGCTCAAGAGCAGACATTGCGTACCAAAGTATGCAACCACATAGCAAGCCTTAAATCTAGACAAGAATTTGAGCCAATTCTTGGTCCAGTTATTCAAAATGCAAAATGTGATAATCTTCATGTGGGAAATAATTGTTGGGGGCATTGGCATAAGTTGCTTTTCACCCATGTTTTGGCTAAAGCAAAGATTCCCACCAGTACAAAGTCTGTTTTTCAATTGCCAGAAGATAACTCATTGCGTAAGCATTTGAAGGCTCTCCGGTTTAAATTAAAGTGCAAGAAGATGTATAATAAGATTTTGCAATGGTTTAAAGAGAAACGAAAGACATCTCCTTTTGAATTTCGGTTCACTGGGGAGGAAACTAAGAAATTTTGTGATGGCTTTATGTATCTTGTTGAAGCTCAAATTGAGGAGGGTGACATTGAGCAAGCCAAGAGCTTTTTTGTGTTATCTCTTGGGAGAATGGGTCTTCACCTAAGGAACAGCTTGTCCCTTGCTAGTAGGGTCTCCAATATTAGTTACAGTGATCTACCAAAGTTAGAGCAGGATTGCACACAATATTTTAATCTAACATCATTATTTCACTCTGCAAATCTCAGTGTTTGGGCAATGGGCTACTGTGTGCCATTTCATACTAAACAGCTTTTTGAAGATCTTGGTGTGGGTTTAGGAATTAATTCAATGCAGGGAAGAGAGTCTAAACACCAGCAACTTGCTTCGTTTGCTAGTTTTTCCCTTGTAAAACACAGATGGGCTAAAGTGTTTAGACATGAGCACATGTCCAACATTTGGATAAGGCAACAGAATCCATTTCATGATACCTCTAAGAAATGTAAAGACACATATGTGCCAAAGCGGTGCAGCACTGCAGGATATTGTTCATGTGGTATGCCTTTAAGCACTGCAAGTGCATGCATGTACTGCTCATGTGAAATTTCAAAAGAAATTATTGCTTGTGGTTCAGCAGGGAAACTAACAGTAAAGATGAAACAAATTCTTGCTGAAGCTCAAAAATGAAAAGTTTCTGTGAAGCTTGGCTGGATAACATCAGATTAAGGGTGTTCAAAGGTGGTGGCTAGACAATTAAATATTGAGATAGTAAGATGTTTTTCTGAGGAGAGTTCATTTATAACAAAAGCTGTAATGTTTTGGTGTTTAAGGTTATAATGTTCTTGTTAGTTCATTAAAATTACATTCCACATGGACCATAAGTGCTATTATTTTGTGTTATACATGTACATACCCCTAAAAGAAAAGTTACATCTACTCTTGATCACAAAATACACAAATTGGCCATTGCAGTAGACCCCTTCGATATATTAAATTCAGCTTGGCAGTGAGGCTTAAAGGACACAAAGGGAATTGAACAATCATG